ATATGTAGTCAATTGCATCCAGGGATTAAGAACCATGTCTAATATACTTTTGTTACGCATTGCACGTAAACACGTCATTTGATATGCTTGAACTATTACGAGTTTACCTTAGTCGGAAAACGAGAGAGAGGATCCGGCGACACGACATGCTACTCTAACACGAGTATCCTAAACCCCCATTGAGTTAAAAGAAGGAGATATGATATGAAGTAGAACCTGTATTCTACAAGCATCCAGAAAGTACGAGGTCCGAGTCCAGGAGAGAACCATGATGCGTGCCCGGGTCATCAAACGTTACAGATAATGCGTATTTATACAGTTAGGTCGAATAGGAACCAACATTGAAGTCTATGACATTGACAGTTAGGATGACCATAATATTGACCAGTAGGAATCAACCCATAGGTATTGACCAATAGAACTAGACATACAAATAATTCTATTAGGATATTGAATGAATATCCAAACAACTTTTCTGTTAAACATTTTCGTTTATTCGTCACACGAAACTTGATCTTTAAGATCTGGTCAGCACTAAGTTATATCACGTTCTTTACTATTAGTAAATTTAACTTATTCAATAGACATAGACTTGTGTACTTAGCTTCATATCATACTCTAAGTATAAGGACCAGTTATAATAACTAAACTTTGAACGCTCGAAATGTAGATGTAGTTGGATATTTTTAGGTCTTCAACACTATATGATAATATTATCAGTTATACTTTATCACTAAATGACTAATATATATATCAACACTTCAGCAAATTATTTTCATTTTAATGTAATTGATGAGGAAGGCTTCAACGAATATAATATTGGCATTTACAAAAACAAAGTAGATCAATTAAAAAAGGTATTAAAACGCCTTAGTTGTTAGAGAAATTGGCTTCACTGTAATACAGCTTAATAACTAATTTTCAGTAGTAGGTATTTTCGCAGTCCAATCAAACTAATTTTACTCGTACCTGTTTTCCATAAAGTAGAATACAATTTGATGCTTACTATTTAACAGAATTCTCGTAATGTAATAACTATGAACTCACTAAACTGAATTATACGATCAATGTTTTTTCTCATAATATTAATAAACGACTATTTATCCCTATTATTCATCAGCATAATACATGATTACTATTTTTGGTCGTTTAAGTTTCAGCAACGGCAATCTAGATTCACGGGAGTTATTATTTTTTGACACCTTATATTATGGTTGAGAATAGAATCTAGAATGTCGACCACATTCTGTATTATTGATTCCACAGTTGACTTTTCTTGCATCGCGCTGTTGAAATGTTCACACAAAGATTCGAGTGAAGTATTCGTCGCTTTAAATGTCATAACTTTATTCATCAGGTTACTAAAATCACTCTGTTAATTACTACTTCATTTGTAAATACATGTATCATCCGAGTCATTGGTTGTAGAAGCTCATTTACATCAACAAAAATTGATCTAGTTTTGTTCTAAATATCAAGGGCGATAAAATACAAGTAATTAATTTTGAAAATTATTTTGCGTGTTGTGTGGGTGAGAAAAAATAATGGTTCGTTATTTACTTAAACAGACTGGTAGATAGTCTAACAGGCATTTGATGCGCTATATATGTTTCTCCAGTCCTTCTGTCATTATGATGTTGATGAATATGCATTCTAGCTAGGCGGATAGGTGCTCTTGACCTGAATTGTATTGGAGAATTGTGCTGTCTGAGTATCTAGTCTAGAACGATTGAATTGTATACGCAGTATCCGATTAAAGGAGAAATTCGAGTGTTGTTTCAGTATGTGTGTTGTTAAAGAATAGCGAATTATCAAATCTGTTTCTAGGTAGGTAGGTATATATGAATCTTGATATCAACGTAATTTCAAGGTGATAAATTGTTCTCATTCCAGTTGGTCAGCATAGATTTTAAGATTTAGTATGTTGTAACAAATTGACCAAAAAAAGTTTGAGAAGTTTCCTAGCAAAATGAAAAGCTGGGAAAATTAGTTTCAAAAAGTTCCAAGCTCTATTTTCTCATAATTATCAAGTGACATGTTGCTACTGATTAGCTTACAACTTTAAGAATGAAATACATTATTCAAAACTTTCTTAGTTATTTCCTCCCATCCCCAGTTATCGTAATTATTGATTGAAATCCTACATACACACACAAGCACGTACTTCATGTTTTAATCTTGTATTTATAGAATTGAAATAATATTGTCACTAGTTTATCTTTTTGACTTCATTCTATATTTCATGAGGTATTGTTTCTTTCGAAAATTATTGAAAATTTCAAACTGAAAGCAAATAATAAGGTGTTTATATTGCAGGTGTTTATTGTCTATGGAACAATTTGGTCGATAAATTTATCTTCAGTTATATTGTCATGCATATTACTATGAATAATAATTGTTGTTATCTGATTTACCTGACCAGATTCTACTCATACTTTACAACAAGTTTTCTTCAGTATAAATTAATCATAGAAAGAGATAAAGTGAGAGGGTTCAAGCCGCTTTTCCTCTTTTTTAATCTTCATTAGTTCACAAGTTATTTTCCGACAGTGGTGTAAATTTGTTTAAATTAATTCACTGATACTTTAATGTTCCAGTAAATTTTAACTATATTGAAAATCAGATAGATATCGTCGATATAAATGGGTGGTCGTGACACTTCAAATCGTGATTTAACAGAATTTAAAAATGTAGGTCATTCAGTAATATTTATTTAACGCTCTTGAGATGGTGTCGCTCTAGCCACAAGGCTTAAAAGTTACTGGGTTGAAACTCTCCAATGGTAGTGGGTGGTGATTATCGGTAGAGAGCCTCGTACTTGAAAGAATACCTGTTCAGTGCTCATTGATTTCGACCAGTTGTCCAAGTAAATAGGAATAGTGGCTTAATAGTTGTGTCGTGGAATTTTCAATCAATAAGTCTCAGGTTTTGACCCCACCTGACCTACTTCGGTTTGGCGAACCGTGTAGTATGAACACTCTTCATATTTAGAATATGGCTAAAGGCTAAATACATGAATCTGTACCTGGTAAGTGACTTAACTTGGATAAGAAATAAAAGTTAGATTTTTTTATGATCTGTTTACATAACATCCTGTTTTTCATGTTTTGCACTCACTTCTAACCAAAACTGAAATAACTAGCACAAAATGATGATAAACGGTGCTGGTTTTTATGCTGTTTTCTGTTCAAGTATTTTATATGGCTAGTGACATTTTTAAAGGTCATTGGTTATCCCCATTCATCTTATCATTTATCTGGTTTCACTTAAAGAAATTCTTTGTTGCTAACATTTCTACGCAGTAACTGTTAACTATCCTTTCCTCAAGGGATTTGATTTTATATTTTTCCAACAGAGGGTTTTAAAATAATGCAATCGCTCGTTTAGTAGCACCAATCATCTTTTCATTATTGTCATTCATATTATTATTATTAATGTTATTATTATTATTATTAGTATTATTATTAATATCTACGTGTACTATAATCGTGTTTCATTTCAGTTTAATCTATTTATCAAAGTAACGGCTCGTCGTTTGAACAATGAACAAGACAGTAAATGAGTAATTGTGTTATCTTGTTACTATTTTTTGTGTCTGTGTGTGTTTCTGCCTTGGTGCTCTAAGCATTAGAAGTTAAAATGTTATCTTTGAATTTTTAAATGTTTTTGTTTTACATTTTTGTAGATTATATGATACATTTTTGGATAAACATTTTTTGTAATATATATATATATATATATATATATATATATATATATATAGGTTTTATGTGTTTATCACTGTGTGGGTTTTTAATCATGCGTTTTAATTGTTCAAAAAGTTCGTTAATAACTTCAGTAGTTAAAACTACTATATCAAACCAGAAGTCCATTTCAGTTTGTCATGGAGTGTTGGCTTTTTTGTTCGTTAAAGTATCCAACTTTCAACCTTTGGATTATGGATTCAACTCTACCCATCCTCTTATATATTCACATTACATTAAATCTAGTAACTGAATAATAAATCAATTTCAGGGTCCATTTTGTAGATTCGTATTTAATTATTGATTTTCATCAGCTAATTGTTTAAATATGCCTTGAGAACAACAAAGTATTCCAAAGTAGATGTAATGCCCCGGCTCACTACATATAATATATTGTCAAGTCTCAAAGATGAGCTTATTCTACACATGTTCAAATAATGCGTTTATTGAAAGGATCCAAGTGAAAGGAATATTAGCATCATCAAGTTCCAAGATGTAATTGCATATGGTGAATATAACATAATCTTTTCACAATCGAAGTTCCAAATTAAGATGAAATAGCTCTCCGACGCTTGTTGCTTCTTTAATATACTAGAAGAGAATTCCACGTTTAATTCGTTAAATAGTAAGAAAAAACCAAAATTTAAGATTATTCATATAAAAAAGGGGAGAGTTTACTACAGAATTTAAAAGCTTTTGCTTTGAATACTTGATTAGTGAGTTAATTTCCAAATTATTAATTTTCTTCATTACACCCGATACTGACAGTATCAACGAATAAATCTAACGTCTGTCTGATTTTATCTGAGCTAGTCAGAACACACTTAAACAAAACTCTTATTATTACCGAACGAAACCGATTACAACTTTCTCTCTCCCTGTTGCTGTACACTTAAACATGTGCAAATGAGTTTGTTTATGGTGTTATTTACACTGACTTTTAATTGAATAGTTTCTTGTAAGACTTATCATCTACTCCTAGCAAACTGTAATAGTGAGTGAGCTTAATTTATTAGCATTTTTTATCAGTCATCTCTCAATCTCTCTCTATCTATCTTGTGCGTAAGTTTCACATATTTTTATCTATATGACATAATGGATCTCTTGTTGTTTATTTTTCGTCTTCTTTTTTGGGCCATTTGTTGTTTGTCAGATTTTAGATTAAATTTTATTATTTCAATTGAAAATATTCCATTGCGAAGAAAAGCTCTCTATTATTTCCTTTATTTTTACTTTTATTCTTTCATTCTTTTCCAGCGTAATTGTTGGGTTCAAGATTTATTTTTGGATTTACGTAATGGATACTTACTAGTACGTCTATTGGAGTGTTTAACAAATGAAGTATTGGTAAGTTTCAGTATGCAGATTACTATTTTGAGCCATAGTTTCGTTTGTTTCACTAAAGATTACATTTTTTTGTACGTTTCTAAAAAAAAGTTCAAATTATTAATTTTGTAGATTAAACGATTTTAGACAGCTATTTTCCAACTAGCTACTTATTTTCTTAAACAGGTTTTCATTTAAGTGTAAACGCTTACAAGTTTTCGTAAATGTTAGTATATTATTAACAGTCTTAAGTTCATGCCGTACGTTTGCTTCTATCTACAAAATACATTACAGCTGGATATACTTGTACCCTAGTGTTGATGTTCATGATGAAACGCGAACTCAATACCTTTCACTTCAAACGTCATCATGTTATCCACTAAGCTGCCTAATTCAAAGAACTAATAACTTGTTCAACAGGTTTGAATATGTTAGTGAGGGTATTTATGATCATCCAACTGATATATAGGACTGTAATTCATCAGTTTCGGTTTTCAGATGTGCATTTTCAACATATTGCTCTCAATCATAGCTTCTATTCACAAATTTTAATACATTTGATCTATTACAGTACTCGATATTAACGACAATAGAGAATAGTGTATTACTTATCATATGCAAAATGTTCTGACCCAAAAACAACTTCATATGTAAACTTATATGTGATCATTGAATTGCATTAATGAAATAATCATGACTAATTTTATGGAAATTTTCTATAGCATACTTATTACTAGACTATCTTATGGTGTATTGATTTGTATGTGACTTTTTTTTCACTCACAACATTAATTATTCTTTCTTAAGTGATAATTTCAACAGCAACAACAAAAAAAACCATAACGGAAATACTCCAACTTCCTAGTGGACATAAACTATTTCTATTTGACTATAGAATGATTCTTTACTGACTGACTAGTTTACTAATTACTGGAATTTTCTTCTCTTAGGGACTTGAATACATTGAAAGTCGTGTCCATTGGATACAAAACATTCAACGTGTACTGGATTTTCTTCGATATCGTGGGGTAATTTTTATTCTGTTTTAAATATGTCTGTAAATTTTTCTTTTCTCTCTTTTTGATTTGTTTTGTTTTCAAATTGACAAGATGAAAAGTTTAAAAGTTAATATAAATAATATCAATAAGTATGAGAAAAAAGCATATTGAAAATACAATTTTTAGAGAACAGATGTATCACAGCGTAGAATCCAAACTGAGGTTTGAACTGAGGAATAACTGTCTAGGTAGTTTAGATATGCGCCTTGCCCAGTTGAAACCAAAACAAGGTGATTGGGTAAACGACGGTCCTAATATTCATCATAAATATAAATATACATCATTAACGAAACAAATATTACCAATCAGTTATTCCACCAACAATTGTTCAGTTAATCAATTCAACAGCAACAAATAAATTTTATTCTATCCTTTCTGGATAGATCAGATTCGTTCGAAAGATAAAATTTGGTTGCTTTATAACACAGAGTGTTTCTTATTCTCTTAATCAAAATGCACAATTCCAATCAAGGCAAGCAACACAATCAAAAGAGGAACAAATCAATATGGCTGCTGCAAAGACTAAGTATCAGCTTAAACAACATAAATGCAGTTCAGTTCAGAAAGAAACGTAGAAACTGAGTGCAGGTAAAAGAAATAGAAACTATAATAAAATACAAATATCATCATCTGAAATGGAATCGAACAGGCTAGCAAAATGTACAACTGAATGAATCAATAAGGACCAATTATAAATGTATTCATGGAGTGATTTTCACAAACAAAGCTTTCAAAAATGGATCTTACACACAGAACAACGATAGATAATAGGAAAATATTTAAACTCGTCATTTAAAAGAGGTTAAAAAAAGGGATACATTTGTCCTAGTCTGTTACTAGTTCCTATCTGTCTTCACTTGTGATTTTCAATCATAAGATTATCTAATAAGCTTTAACCAAGGAGTCTGAACTTGTCACAGCAATCCATCGACTTTCATTTAATCAACCAGATCAACTTCATACAACTGAATGTATTTCAATAGTAAATAAACAAACCATTCGTACTGGATATCAACGTTATATTATGATAAAATTAATTTTCAACATAAGAGAGTCTATTGTAAGTTTGGAAGTTGTTTCATTTTGAGTTGAGTAGTAGTGACCTTCAAAAAAGTGCACCTAAACACAATTGGGTTTTGTTTTGTTATTCGATAATGAAATTCATTGTATCGAAATGATGAGATTGGAATGTGTTATGACTGATCACTATAATTTATAGTATTAATAATTTGAAATTCTTGAAGTTAATCATACTTATTGTAAACTAATTAGAATATTTTGTATTCAATGTCTCTAGACTTGTATATTTAATTTGAAGAGAAAAAAAGCTAACAAACATAGTTAATAAGTTAGTTATTCATTACCTTGAATCTCACTTTTCATTAATGTTGAAAAAAATTTCGTCTACAATAGAGTTTAAATAATGTTGACATTAATTACGTGCTTGCAATGAACTCGATTATACATATGCATAGTTGATTCGATTGGATAGTTTCATTTATTTTGGTTTTCTATCTCATTCTCTCTCTCTCTATGTCGATGATAACACAAAAATTTCAGTTATCATTTAGCACTTCTCATTGCTTTATAGACATTCAAAATATTCATTTGTCAGTCTCTAGATTAAAATGAATATTTTTTTTGGAAAATATATGGTATTATATTTGTATTCTCGTTTTATTCTAACTGACCAAACACTGTAAATAAGTTTTGTTCATTGAAATCAGTTGGTCGATTTAATATGATTGTTGTAGTTAAAGTGATAATTACCCACCAATTAGGATTATTAACTTTAAAGAGCTCTCAGTGGGTTGACTATCGAGAGATGGGCTATCTTTTGACATTATTAATTTCCATGATCCAGACGGTTTATTTATCAAGCTTTTATTACCAGCCTAGACAACATTATCAATTCCTATTTCATTGAGAAATGACCTTCTTCATAGGTTCTGGTCATCTATACTTTTCTTCTTACATTCCTATTGATTTTGTTGTTCAGTTGACTCCTGATCAATGTAGATGATTTATTTTGTTATACATTGAGAAATTATAACTCATTTATCCAAGAATTTTAAAGTTTTCTCGTTTGTATAAATGCATCAAAAATCAATAGTAACATTTCTTATCGTGATTTGCTTTCATGTATGGGCAAATGAATACAGTGTCCATTTTATCCAATGTAGTTCTTCTCTTAGTTGATGTAATTCCTTTTTCTAGACAATGTAGCATTTGTTGTCATTGTTTTATTCAACTTACCTAAAATTAAAATTAAATGTAATCCATGAAGTCACTAACAACTGAATTGAGTCATGTTGGTAGGTGTCGACTACCTGGTTGGGACTCTTGATAAGATAGTAATCGATGGTTAGAGACCCTGAATGACATGGCTCAAAACCGTTTGCAATGGCGCAGGTGCATTCATTGTTTATGTTCTCTCAAATCGTAAACTTCAGAGTTCCTCATCACCTTAATCTTTTACTTTTTAAGTTTATTTCACTAAATTCTACTTCTTGAATAATATGTTCGAGCCCTAATCTCTTCGATTACTGCTAATAATTTTACTATCTCTACCGCTATGGGATTTAAAGTAACAATTGCGTCTCTGTGCTATGGTATGGAAACCTGAACTGATGTACGTACGTGCGAAATTCTACGTTGTAACTGACTGACTGACTGAAAATTAAATGTAATGATTGCATACGTTTGTGTGTAAGTAACATTGGTTTCACAAGCTTTCAAAATCTTAGTTATAATTTCTGCAAATTCTATGAAACTTGTTCGTTGTATGTTTATGTTTCAGTGAAATATGAGTCATTCCATGTAACAAGAAAATGGTTTAGTGATACATAAAACATTTAACACACATAATAAACATGTTTAAAATTCATTTAAAACGTCTAAGATTTGTTGGATATGGATTTTCGTTGTTGTAATAAAATTTCTTTTTTTCTAATCAAACGGTATACACATTCCAAGCCATAAATATTGATTTATATTTGTAGAAAGAACTTTACTCATATTGATAGGTTATATTCACACTACGTCAGGTCCTAGAACATAGACACACTTTCAGACGTCCCACAATAGTAGTATTTCTTGACCTTAAAGCGGCATTCAACTCTGTGGCAGTGTCTGTCATTTAAAAGTCTACCAAGGAAGTACATTAATCTTATGCAGGTTCTCTACTCGAACACCACAGATCGATTCAGAGCTCATGGCGAACTGTCATCGGAATTGGTTACTTGAAGTGATATCCGTCAGGGCTGTCCACTTTCCCCATTCTTGTTTACTTTTGTCATAGACATGCTCCCAGATGTAACATTATCTTCGTCTGAATTTCAGGAATGAACCTTTTATTAGGAGACATGCCTGCTGACTTAGAATATTCTGATGACATAATTCTACTTCATGAAGACGCTGATAAAATGCAGAGTCTTCTGACTACCCTAATCAACAATGCAACCATGTTCAGGATTCAGTTTCCCCTCTCAAAATGCTTCAAGACTGGATTACATTGGTACCTAAACTAGTGATAAGGAGTGAAGCAGTTGAGTGTGTAGACCGATTCATTTATCTGGGGAGTCTCATCACTCCCGATGACCTGCTGACTGACAAAATCTCAGCATGGGTACAGAAGGCTCTATTGGCTTTTGCCAAATTGCCTCACTTATGGCATAGGCCGGATATCCGTTTCCCAACCAAAGGACGAATATACTGTGCAGCAGTTCTCAACGTCCTACTTTATGGCTATGAAATATGGTCAGTAAGAGTAGAGAATATTCGTAGGTTATTGGTTTTCAACCATAAGTGATCGCCGAAACCTTGTTCGTGTATCCTCGGACAACCGCGTAAGGAATGCTGTTATCAGGAAACGGGTACTAGGTAAGGGTAGCAGATCAATAGATGGGGTATTAGAACTTCATCAGTTGAGGTGGCTGGGACATGTGTTACGTATGTATGCCCAACCACTGACTGCCTAGTCGAGCGATGCTTTGCAATGTAGGAGTTGGAAGAAATCTATGGGCGGCCAAATCAAAATATGGCAGAAATCCATGAAGTCACTGACAAGTGGACTGAGTCATGTTGGTAGATGTAGGCCACCTGGTTGGGGTCCGCGGGACAAAAGTCACCGGTGGTTAGAGACCTTGAATGACATGGCTCAAAATCGTTTGCAATGGTGGAGGTGCATCCACACTTTCGGCCGTCCAGTGCTTCCAGATTTCTAATGCTGGTCTAACAATAATTGATTGATGATTTCAAATGTGTAAAAACAATAATCTCCATAACTCTAATTGCAAAACTTGATTTGTGTTGAATTTTGTACACAAACTCTATGAATTATACAATAAGCTTTTTTCTTATCGTTTCATTATTATTCAAAAATCGATATCATTTCGTGTTCATTTTATTTATGACTATTTTCTCTCATCTATTTACTTTTTTGTTTCTAAATATTAGATTCGTATTGTGAATATTCGTGCAGATGAAATTGTCGATGGTAATCCCAAGTTAACATTAGGTCTTATTTGGATAATAATTTTACATTTTCAAGTAAGTTGACACATGGCTTTTATTCATTATCGTAGTTAATTATTCAATTTTCGTTTGTTGTGTTTAATAAGTGCTATTTTTTAGGGTTTCGTGGAAATAAGTTTACTTTGCATGTTGTATTCGTGATAGATTAGTTTTAATTGGCTACCAACAGAGATAAAATTGAAATGGACCAGTGTTTAGTTCTAGGATGGAGGTTTTCTGTAATGGACATCCACGATCTCACTAGAGACCTAACTCGGTAATATTTAAATCCCGCAGTGAATGCCTAACCTTTAGGACAACCAGTGTGAGGTTCAGTTGTACCTCAGTAAATTGCCGATCGTACATTTATCACTTGTTGTTTGAGTAACAGATGCGAGAATTTTATGGTGTATTGGTTCAGATATTCAGCGTTTCAATCAGTATAATATTAGTTTATAATCTGTAATGTGTTGTAATCAAAAAATTTAATTACTCATCCAAACATTCAACCAATTTAACAAGTTGATTTTCCTGTGAATGATAAATGAGTGAATACTACTGTAGTGAACGAAAACACAGGTGGGGCAACCGGATTGTATTTAACAAAAATTACAGAGTTACTCAGTAAAATAGGAAAACCATATCGTAAATCGTTAATTTGCAAAATATCAGTTCATCCTATGGAACTGGACTGTTCCTGTTGCCAAACATCAATCCATTGTCACTATTCATGCGTTTCATACAAATTCCATTGTTTTCTAACTCTTCCTTTCTTGATCTTCCCTCATCTTCTGCTGTCAGACATTACGTTGACACTCACGTCATATACTACTTATAAGTAGCTCACACCACACTAGGACTTCGCTCATTAATGACTTATTTTAAACAAGTTCCTCCAGTACTAATGAGAAGCCGTGACTTTTAGAGCTCAGATACATTGGAAGAGAAATAATTATTACCACTAGCAATAAATTATGATCACACAGTCTCGTAAATGTACTAAAATGAGAAATACAAATCATTGAGTGTGAATTACGTGACCTAAAGGCTAGGTGCGCTTCACGAGGCCCAGAATCGTAGATGCCTGTTTACTGCTTACTGATCTTCAGTGGTTTTCTAACAGCAGTCAATCTATGATGTGAAACTTCAGATAATACTACAATTAGGAGCGTGATTTATCGAAATGTGTATATGCACAATCCACAACGTTGGTTTCGTAGGAAAATTAGGAACAAGATCGATAAATTGTTTTCGCAAAAAAGGGCAAGGACTAAATGTAATATTTTCTCCCACAGCCTAAATTTAGTTTTCATTTTTGAGGCGAGATAAGCATACTTGTTAAAGCTTCTTGTAATATTTTGTCTGAAACTCCAATGTGTGTGTATGTGATGGGAACAATGCATATGAAAGATGCGCTACTTTTATAACCATAACATCCAGCCATGTGTGTTAGATCTGTACAAATATCACATCAAATGTAGTTTAAAAAGAGGACCATAAATACAAAATGCTAACATTGATGACAGATCTCTAATCAATAAGAAAAAATATGTTAATACCAGTTCAGGATTTGTATGTGCATATACAGCGTCTTATCGTGTATATACAATTATTAAGACCGGAAAGAATCACTGATCTAGAACAAAAAAAATGTACATATTGCTGTGATTGAAACTTGGAATGTGTAATGGTAAATTAAATGTGTACTGTATACCAGACAAGTGAATGAAATAGAGACAAAAGCCGTTGATATTATTTGTCGGTCACATCAACATATGCTCTCTTTCTGTATCTCTCTATATGAAATAGGATGAATTCTAATTGAAAGGCTGTTTCATGAAGTTTTTCTCTTTTCATTTTCACTGGTAAACAAAGTCTTATCATGGCATAATAAATACATTTTAAAAATCAATTGTTGACTGATATCATATTTGATTATAACACTAGTTTCAATTGTTAATCAAGTTAAATTCATATTGTAATGATTCCTTTTGTTGTTGATGATGAAAAACATTTTAAAGATAATCATGTACTCTTCATGGATTAAATTGTTTTGATATCTTCCATTTTAATTAATTAATTAATTATTTACTGAAACATAATGTTTTTCATTAAAACATTGGTGTACACATTTGTATGATGTTTCCTTTGTGTAGAGTTAAACTACTTCTAAGTAGTTTTCTCTTTGTGATTTGAAGAAATTGTTTACTTTTTCAATGAACTATTTTTTTTTCTATATTTTCATACAAAAAAGTAGTTCTATCGTTGCTTTTTTTTTGATAGTTTTCAAGTAATTTTCTTGTTTAGCATTTTTTTTAATACTAATACCAGCATCTCTATATTTTCAAGTGTTTAATTTTTGACTTTCCATTGTAAATGGGTATATTTGCATACCCCCTACATATTTCATCTTCTTAGCTTCTTATTTTACGTTATTGTGAAACTTGTTAACTTCAGTCGATACATATGCTTTGCACGACTTAAGTTCTATGTAGGTTAAATATAACTGTAACTCAGTCGCAACTGTTTGGTAAAAATTGATATGTTCACTACTTGAACTCTTCATACTACATAGACTCCCTAAGCAGTCATAGAATCTGAACCCTGAATAGCGTAGGAAAGGAGCAAGTTAGAGATAGGAGCTTTAATTTAAAGTTCATTTATGCACAGATAACAATCTCGTTACTAAGTTTTACTGGTTATTTTGACTTCTAAGATGCTTCTGGTAATACAGTAAATTTGATAACAAAACGAGTAATTATCTAACTAAATCATGATCTGATTCTTAGTCTTCCTCTATTCACTGCTGATCGCGTAAGATAATATCAGTCTTCCTCTGGCTTCTGGATACTCTTGAATAATTCTCAGGTCTCTCAGTACAAATAACTTAGGTTCACTGTTCTTTGGGATCGAAGCATAAGATAATACTGTGAACGCAGGTTTTTTTTGCTTTCTTTCGTGAAAATTGCAGTCATTGTTGGTTGTTAAGTCTTGCTCGACTTACTGAAGATTTCGCGTAATTCAGTGGTGATTTTATTCCTCTTTTTACTATATTAATACTATAGCTCTTTACTACCAAGTTATCGTAACCTTTGAGTTTGCAACCGTTGATGACGAACTCAAACTTACAGAGCTGAATTTTAATTCATGTTTGACGTTCACAGTTGAAACCTTAGCATGAAACATAAACTTACATCTAGTTCCATATATGTCAATACGAAATAGATAAAGATATGACAGTAAATTTTCAGATGCCGGTCTGTAATTAATAATATGTTAGGATGAAGCTTATAAGCGAAAACCTAAAACTTCCAAAGCTAATCTGTTGAATATCACTATATAAAAATTTCTTAACAAGCCATCGGTTTATGGTAAGTTTAATGGCTGCCTTTACAGTAAAACTTTATCGAACTCAGACACTTTTTTTCTTGGATTTTCTAATGCTTTTAAATTTCTTTGAATTTTTCTTGAACTTTTTATCCAATTTAGAATCATCCACAATCTAGTTTTGTACATATAAGGATTTATTATTTCTGGTTGGTTTTAGTCTTTGATTTTATGTAGTTGTCAAGTCCGTTTCAAATCCTGAATAATACCTCTGTGATAGAAGTTATCCAGTGTTTTGATAAGTGGACGGGGGCAGGTAAAACTTTTCTCGGGCTATCAGTTGTTAATATATAGAATTATTCTATTAGCAAACTCATTCAGTCAGTCAGTTACAACGTGAAACTCCGTACGTACGTACATCAGTTCAGGTTGCCATACCACATTAGCACAGAGAATCAATCGTCAGTTCAAATCCCATAGTGGTAGAGATAGTAGAAGTATTAGCGGAGAAGATTAAAATTCGAAGTAATTATTCAAGTATAATTCGGTGAAATAAATTTAGAAAGAGAAAGATAAGAATACCGTTTTTTGCTTATCGATACCATATGATTTTCATCGTTTCTGGATTAGTTTCAATACTTAAAATGTTACTACACCTAACGAAATAACATCATTGTCCTAATGTGGTCAATAAGATGATAAAGATTACTTCAATACTCTTTTTGTGGATATAATTACTCTAATCCTGCTAAATACCGATATAGCTTTAATATTAACTGATATTTTTTGCCTAATCAGGTTAAGCATGGGCGTTGACGCTTTTCATATATATATATATATTTGGCAAGAAGATAGGCCAAGATTTTAACTTACACATATTTTCAAACCCAGTAAAATGTAACCGGGATTAAAAGGGGAGTGGGTGGAGTGAAAGGACACTGTGCAGGTGTTAGTTACATACACATATGATTGTAATTTGTAACCAATTCAAAGGCAACTGAGTAATATTCCTATCAATCTTGACGATATTCTTAAAAGATTTTATTAATTAGCAATTATTATTATTATTATTATTATTACTATTGGTTTTGTATGTGTATATGTGCATAAATATTGTTTAGAATTAGAATTCTCCACTTTTCATTTTGTGGACGATCTACTTGCAAATGATCTTTGAGCAATTGTCGATTTTCTTTTCCATTGGAAAGGGAGACTAAATTTTCACGTCATAGAAAAAGTACACCTACAAATAGGTAATTATTATATCATATGGCCTGTTTATGGCTAATGGTGTGTGTATGCACGTGCATGTGTGTGTATGTGTGTGTGAGTCCAGTACATGCACTATTTCCCAATCCTATATGGATTATCTTGAACGGATTTCATGTATATAGGTTTTATGACACACACACATTCTCTCTTTCTCTACATATTTCCTTCTGGATTATAATTGTGCATAGATTAAAACAGTTGGTGATTTATATGGTAGGATTAATTGGTCTGTTGTTGTCAGGGCTTGTTTTTATCTGCTAAATTGGTAAACTCATTTACATGTTCTTTTTTATGTGTTTTTTTTTACTTAAATATGTACTTATTATTTATCAATCACTGTATATTTAATAGTCTATGTCGTATATGTATCAAAGTAGTTGTTTTTAAGGTTTTTGAATTTTTTTTTACTGCAACTTAGTTAAATTACGTTTGAAAAATCAACGTAAACTGAAATTTATGTAAATCAATCATTTCACTAATTATATATATATATTTTGTGTAAATATTGTTTGTACCATTGAAATGTTAGGTGATTAGTCACTTTCGTTGTGTAGTTTAGAATTGAGCTTACGTCATTGTATTATTAAATGTTCGCCTACTTGTTATGTTGTCATTTTAATTAGTCTAGAACAGTTGCCAAAATACAACAGATTCTAGCATTCTACATGATTATATAATGCTGCTGGTCATATACAGTTCATTTTAGTTCATCTATAACTCCTTATCACGTAAAGTAAGTAAGTAATAAATGGGAAAACATCATTTGTCTGATATGCATACATGAATAAACAAAATATATCAAACTAGTAAATTTATTAAGTACTGATGTGAACTGTTGGCAAAATTCACCCATAGCTTAAATCATTTGTCTGTTTTATGCTTCAGTTATTTTGATGTGTTCCTACGGTTTATTGATCTTAAACTTGATCTTCATAAGAGATAAGAAACGATAATGGATTAACGGTCTAACGATCTAAGTGTAAACTTTTCATTTGTGTTATATATCTTACTATGTTATACATATACATACTAGTATATATATAGCTATAGTGACTATGAATTAGCAGTTCAATTCTACTTACTTGTTCCATGTGGAATAAGTTAAACACAGTAGTTGATTTAAGCTATCAAATTAACATTCGATTGCTTTAACTTATGTCTACATTGATGAAAATACCGGTATATTATTTGTTCTGCTAATAATAAAGCGTATAATAAACTGTTCAGTAATTATTCCTGTATGCAATATTTCTTCCAACATTGTTATTCTTATCACTTTTATTATTATTATTGGTGTTATTAGTCATTAGTATTTAGCATACAAAGTCTAAAAACTTCATCCACTAGATTTTTCCACTGGAAAATTGATTTTATTGATTTTCATGTTAAATAAAGCTGCATAATGTTTATGTATCTTTCTCTCATTTTCTCTCTCTCTCTCTCTCTCCCTTATCCGTATGCATTGTGTATTAGTTGATAGAATAAATATAGATGAATGTTTTAATTTGTTATTCATTAAACAGAGAAACAGAAATTAGAAAGGGAATATTTGAAATTGATTAATTTATAATTATGTAGGGTATTTTCACTGTTTTATTCTTTCTCTTTGATTCCTATTTTATATTCTATTATTAAATTAGAGAATAAGATCAATGAAAAGGGAATTTTTTTTAACATTCAAAGAATTGAATAAACTATCACTTTTTCATTAAACTATTTACATAGTTACCATCTTATTTCTAGGTTGATGTAGCTGATCTACTCTTAGCTGTATGCATATATATATATATATATTTATATGCATATAGAAATTTGATTGAGTGGGATTTATTTTGTGTCTTAGAGTTTCAGTGAGATTCCTATCTATTAGGTAGGGTGTTTTTTCATCATTTTCTTCATTTGATTGGTATTGTTTCCAAGGTCCTGGCCTCAACAATCATATTGATTTAATCAGATGTGAACTATACAAAAATGGATTGTTTTCAAATTTAAGTTTCTACTAGGTTTCCAATATGAACTGACATCATACTTTTAGTTTACTCCTGAAGGTTGCATTTAACTTGATCTATATGCAGGTTTAATGGTAGTGTATATTTTCAATATTTTCAATCCTATTGAAAACTTTTTTTTTCTATGAATATTAGAAAATTACATTTTATTTATACATAATTATTTCATCATCATATTCATGTTGTCCATCCTTCTTCATATTATTTTATTGTATTTCTTTCCTCTTGTCATATATTCAAAACTATGCAGTTGGCTGAATTAATTGAAAATCAAACAAAACTACCATCACATCTTCGTGTTAATTTATCCATGGACAATGCAGCTAAACAAACATTACTTAGTTGGTGTCGGGCAGTCACAGCGAATTATCCAGGTGTATATATAAAAGATTTTAATGAATCATGGAAAGATGGTCGTGCATTCCTTGCTTTGATTCATCGTTATCGGTAAGTGGATGTGTTCAGAATTAAATATGTATGTTTGTATCAACAGAACATTTGAAGCATCCAGTAGTTGAGCCAGACTAGAACTGGAGCTATTTTCCTATGAAATGTCCTACTGTTGATATTCGTTGTCTTGTAATGCTTTAATTTAGGGCTTTCATGTTCTTTTTGATTTGCATTTATGTAGACGTTATAAGTATTCTCAGCTTTTGAAAAAAAATTGAAAAGAAATTGTCAATCACTCCAATAAATTATTATTGACCTTGTCAGAATTCCTCTCATATGTTAGCATCTTAAAGGATTGTATATAAGTGAATAACTCCTACATGGATCACCTTAATGTGTTTTAAGGTTAACTTGAAGTCAGTTAAACACCGTTCTATTTCCTGATTCGCAACGTAAGTTGTTGTGAAGCGTATCCATTGTTTTTTAGGGCTCCTTATCACTCACTGGTAATAATTTAACCTTCTCTAAGGCTTATTTCTAATGATAAACAAGTTTATTGACTTCGGTAGTTAAAATTGCTTTTAAGCTGTCTTTCTAATATATATCTTTCTTTCACTAAAACTTTTCATTAAACCTCGTTTCTAATTGTGTTATTCTTCTCAATTGTCTACTGACAGTTTAGTCCATACATCTACCGGCAGTCTACTCAGCACTATGCACACATTATGATATTACTCAGAATAAACTTTTTAGATTAGTATGTCCAATTAGCTTCTGCAGATAATTAGCGATGTCTCGACTAGCTTACCTTACTTTCTGTAATTCTCTACTCTAAATAATATTGATTAAACTCAACTTACTTCAAGATCATCAACACATCTTTACTATGAATGCTAGCCATCAAAAAATCTTTGTTCATTACTCTGCAGTCAGTAAGCAACAATGAAGAACTCTGTACGTACGTACATCAGTTAAAGTCGCCATACCACGATAGCATAGAGATGCAATTGTCGATTCAAATCCCATAGTGTTAGAGGTAGTAGATGTATGAGCAGTAATTGGAAGAATTAGGGTTCGAAGATATTATTCAAGAAGTGCGATTCAGTGAAATAAACGTAAAATTTAAAAATGGTTGTGAGGAGTTTAGACTAGAGTTTAGGAGAAAACAAAGAATGGAAGCACCTGCGTTGCTGCAAACAATTTTGAGCCATAGCATTCAAAGTGTCTAACCAACAGTTACTATTGTTTGGCGGACCGCGATCAGGCAGTCTGCACTTACTAACACGATTCAATTCAGTTGCCAGTTGCTTCATGGATTTTTTTTTGGTCTGGACGCCCATACCTTTCTTCCAACCTACCCCTAAACCACAAAACATCACCCTTTGAGGCAGTCGGTGGTTGGGCATTCGTAACAAATGTCCCAACCACCTCGACTGACCAAGTTTCAATACATTACCTGCCACCCCTACCTAGTACCCGTTTCCTGATAACAGCATTGCTTACGCGGTTGCCCCACGATACTCGAGCAAGGATTCGACGACACCTATGATCGAAAACCAATAACCTACGAATATTCTCTACTCTGACTGGCCATGTTTCACAGCCATAAAGTAGGACGGAGCGAACTGCTGCACAGTACACTCGTCCTTTGGTTAGCAAACAGATATCTCTTCTATGCCATAGGTGACATAGGTAGGCAAAAGCCAACTGATCCTTTTATATTCGTGCTGAGATTTCGTTACACAGCAGGCCATCAGCACTGACGAGACTCCCCAGATAAGTGAAGCAGTCAACACTCCCTATCACTAGTTCAGGTGCCGATGCAACCCAATCTTGAAGCAACATTTTGCATTTCGAGGGGGAAAACTGTATCCTGAACATATTTGCATTGTTTCTGAGGGTAGTCAGAAAACTCTACATTTTGTCAGCATCTTCACCGAATAAGACTATGCCATCAGTATATTCTAAGTCTACAAGCGTGTCTTCTGGTTGAATGTCCATCCCTGAAAGGACAGTGGAAGATAATGTTATATCTAGTAGCATGTCTATGACAAAATTAAACCAGAATGGAGAAAGTTGGTACTCCTGAAGGTCACCACATGAATTAATCACTTTGGATGACAGTTCGCGATAAGCTCTCACTCGACCATTGGTGTTCGAGTAGAGAGCTCGTATAAGGCTAAGGTACTTCTGTGGTACTCCTTTTATTGACAGCCACTGCCGTAGAACCTCACGACCAATCTAGTCGAATGCCAATATAAGGTCGAGAAATTCTACTATTGTGGGACATCTGAATGTGTGTCTATGATCTAGGATCTGATGTAGTTGAATATTATTGAAGCTAATATCTCAGAAACCATATCAATCAAACTTATTCCTCTCTTATTATCACAAGAGGACTTTTGTCCTTTTTTATAAACCAGCACAATCAATTATTGAGACCAGTCATTTGGGATTACATTCAGTTCCTAGAGTCTACCCAAGATCTCACTCAAACTAACTGCTAAAAATGGATCACGATCCTACAGAATCTCAGGGGTAAGCCTGTTAGGCCCCGCTGATCTCCCTCGATTCAGATTGCCTATAGCCTTTTCAACTTCATTAAGAGTCGGAGGACTTATATCAATTCGCTATTCAGGTAGACTGGAGATCGTAGGTAACCGAAGTGTGTATGAAGGCCAGTTGAACTGATTTCGAAAGTGTTCTGCCAATCGATCCAATCTCCTGGATTCAGGATAAATTATAGTTTCAACCTTTTCTGAGATAGTCTCACTAACAGTCGAATTCCTAAACCCGGTTTCCTTAAAAATCTGAATAGTTGTCTGCTATTATCTATCGCCACTGCCTTTTCCATCTCTCTTGCTTTCGCTACCCACTACTGTTCGTGAGCAGCCTGCACTTAAGCTGATTCCGCTCTTCATCCTGTTCATAGCGACATGGGATGAGTTTTCGAGCTTCTATCAGTTCGGTAGATGCTCCTGGAATGCACTGTTTTCATCTAACCTTATGATTTACCTTACTAGTTTGTTTTCACAGCTTTCTGTGTATCGTTCCAATTTGTCTCGAAGCGGGTTTCACTTACATGACTCCCTAATTTTTTTCTAGTTGCTCCTGAAATATATTCGTAGCCTCATTATCTTTAAGTAGAACCCTAAGAGGTTTCATCACAATGTCTTTTTCACGTCCAATGAGCCATCGATAAATACGAGCTCGTGCTATAGCTTGATCCGAATCTAAACCTGTGCGTCAGAAGGAGCGGCAATCTTCTATCGAGCCTCCCTGTCAGTGGCTGATGGCGATGTCTCACCGTGAGCGACAGTCTTGACTGGCCTACGAGTAAGTTGGTGACTAAAAGGGAAGTTATGAATAGTCTATTAAGTCATTCAGTTTTGTTCTAAATCATATTCGTAGTTGTAGACTGCTTGAATGAAGTCTCTGTGATTATCAGAAGTTATAGTTTGAGACGTTAGGTGATATGACTCAGAATCCATTCCTGTGACACCCATGCATTCACTCTTTATCTTCCCTTAGATTTAGAGTTTCAAGCGTCTTTTATTTCATAAATTCATCCCCCCGATAATCACATCATTTATACTTACACATTTTATTATCATTGATACTCCTACTGCTTTGGTATTAATCACACTCTATCTTCATGATGTATCAACTTGAAACGAAATTCTCTATTTTTCTGATTAACTGGCTTAACGGTATGTTTAGTTTATTAATAATTGATAGGCATATTGTAATAAACAAAGACCCAGTCCCAGATGGAATAAGCAATTTTTTTTGAAGAAAACACAATCTACTAGCCAAAAAGTGCACCCGTATCATAAAACATGCATTCGCAAAACAAGCATATACTTAACTGTCTTCTTCCATATCTCTCCTATACCTAAAAATACACCTAGATCACGTTATGCGAGACTTCTATTTTCGACCATAACTTCAGGGTGACACCCTGCTGCTCATCCGCTACATACTATATATAAGTACTGCCGTAAATAATGATTTGTGACCACAGTCTATCATTCTGTTCATGCCTACTAAATTGTCTATATTTAGAATGCGCTCAAAAAGTTTTCATTGAGGAAATCTTTCTGTATTCAATTATAAATAAACCACCAAGATATCCATCACAATAACATATCATAATCTACATTTAATAATTTGTTAGATAGGGTTGTTATTTACAACGTATTATAAAGAATCAGTCAATTTAAAACAATTAATGACGCAATGCAAAAAAAAACCCATTAGATAATTTAAGTTTTTAATTTGATACTAATTAGGTTTCCAATTTTGGCAAAATTATTTTCTTGTTTTAGAAATCAAAATCGAAAAAAATATTTTCGATTTTATTAACTTTATTGACTTATTGAAAAATTTGTCATTTCGATTGCGATTCTTCTCATTTCAAGACCCTAAGTGTTGATTTTCTTTCTTTTAATTTTATTCATTCCAACAGTTATGATCGATTGATTAATCAATGTATATTTTTTTCACATAATTTAATTTTCTTCTGTTTATATTATTTCAACCTATACATTTGATTGTATGTCACTAATTTTGTGTTCATTTTCATTCAATCTATAATTTACCTAGATAACAATTTCAATCACTTCTTTTTTCGTTTAATTTAGACCGGATTTGATTGATTTTCGTCAAGTTGATCGTCAATCTGCTCGTGAAAATCTTGATTTAACATTTGATTTGGCTCAACGTGAACTTGAAGTTACTCGATTATTTGATGCAGACGGTAAGTTTTTTTTCTCTTTAATTTCATTGTTTTACTGATCAGTATGTATCTCAAAATTAGGTAAAAATTACAATTTACTTACATGCATTGATTTATCCTGTTCACTCTTGTTGGGTCTGATTTTCCACACAAATTAAAATATACTCGTTTCATTTACCGAATGTGTTCTATAAGACTTCATACTGATTAGTTATATACCAAACCAATAAATTGATAAAGTCAGAGTATATTGATTTCTAAATAGTATTACTTTTACGAAATATCAAACATACATCATTACATCTAACCTTGACATACTTGTTTTTTTTCTTTTGTCTGTTTGTTTTAGATATTGCCAAAACAACTGATGAACGATCAATTATAACTTATGTAGCTTCACTTTATGATAAACTCGTCTGTAATTCATCACAACGTTCATTATATCCTGTACCAATTGTTCCACCTATGCCTTCTTTATATCATGATTATAAGTCTAATAGACCGATCGATTCAACTTTTCAACTTCTTGCTTCTTCAAATCAACTTTCAGATGAATTAAAATCACTTTGGTCAGATTATCGTATTTTAGCTAGTAATTTAATACAATGGTTACGATCAACTACTGATCGTATGGCTAATCGTCATTTTCCATCAGATTTAAAATCAATGCAAGAACGTGTTATGGATGAAATACGACGACATCGACGTGATGAACGACCAAGAAGAGAAAGAGAACGTCAACAGTTAGTTCGTATGTATGAAGAATTAAAGGTAAAAAGGAAAAGTTGTTGTTAATGTGTATAAAACAAGTTCATTCTAGTCCTTTCTGTTGGTCTAAGTAGTTTCGCTTCAACTATAATTTTTTTTAATAATTTGCATAACAAACTTATCAAAGTTAAATAGCACTAGACAGCTGTTTTGTCCCTACTATGGAACTTTTCACTAGCACATATTCATAAGCACATTAAGAATTGAGCACACAGACTTCGTGTTTCAAGTTGAGCGAACACCTAACCACTAATTCAGAATACAATAAGAATGAAACTATTTGATTGAAATTAGGATTTCAAACCATTGGATACATGTTCTTTACTATTTTGGGACTTCTCACTCAACAAGTGGTTAACGAACTGACAGAATACTCAAAGTTTGTTGATGATACGTTAATTGTTTGCAACATCAAACAAAATGTAATCCACCTTTTGGGACTCTTCATCAAGGCTGATCGCAACCTGTAGTTCACCTTGAGGCAGAAAACAAAAGACATATCCACTTTCTTAAAATTGTCATACAACGGAGAGTAGAAGGATTAGTCTAACTTTCGATGTATCAAAAAATAGTTGGAACAATCTATAATTGGACCCCAGTAGTTTTTATCCAACCAAAACTCGTCAAAACGTACCACTGACAAACTGGGAGTCAAATCGATAAACCTTAACAAGTGCCCAATAGACAATTGCTAACCAGAAAAGCTTATTGATAAATGTAAAAGAACTATCAATAAAAAAAGCAATATTTATCCATTTCAACTTCAAAAGAGATGAAAATTCAAGTACAATCAGCAGGAAGCTTTACATTTCACCAAACTATATATTCTGTCTGAAATATGTTCAATCATTCGATTCAATGTCGGCAAGCGCATCTTTCCAGTTATAAACTATTGAGTCTATAAGTTCACAGATACTCATGAAAACAACTACATTATCCAACCCGAAAATAAGTCATATCCTAGAATTTTTAAACATGCTCCTCCAAACTAGAGAAAGTGACATTTTAAATAGTGTAACAACTAAATATTTCTTGGACACAGCATTAGATCGATACCTTAAAATCCTATAAGGCGATTAATAAATAACCAAGCTCAAGTCTTTTGAACTGTAATGAATACATTGTTATCACTTATCAGAAACCTGATTTATGTGTCCAAAAAAAATAAATGGTTGTTCGTCTTTTTCCATCTTAGTAGCACAAATCTTTCTCCATTACGTCATAAAATCATGTTCAACTCTTCGTTTCAATGAATTACATCATCTCGTCTTTTTCATTTTAACAGTTTCCTAAATTTGTTGTCTCATTCTAAAAAGAACTAAACTTTACTCATCCTATTCTTACTTGGTACCAGTGTTTGTTCAATGTAAAACCTCTTGTTCTTAGTTCTGGTCTTTTTTCACTATCAGCGTTATCGAATGTTCTTTTACAGTGTTTTAGTTAGCTTAATAAATTTATTTACATTCTTATCAAACTATTCTATTCATAGCACCTTCTGATTAACTTTTTCTTGTAAGTAATTTCAAACGCTTTTTGCAATTAGAAATTTTAAACATTATAATTAGTAAGTCGCTGACAAGAACCATGTTAATTTTCTTACATATTACATATTACATATTACAAATTACAATGTATAGACAAATTAATTTTGTGCAATTATTTCGGAACAATTTAAAAATTCATTCAATATTACTGTCTAACTTTTAAGTAAAGAAAAATATGCATTTAGTTCTGAATTTGTGTTGATGTTAACCATTAGATTATAATGCTTTACACTTATCAAACTTCAATATCATTAACTGAATACTTTTGAACAATTTCATTCTCTTTCTATTTGAAAATATTTCAACTTCATTAAGCAGTGAATTGAACTCGTCCATTTGTCTTATGAAATCAAATTTTATATTTAATTAATTTGTCATTTCATGATAATGGTTATTAGTATTACTTGACAAATTGTATATTTTTATGTATATTCAATCATGTGTGCTCATCACAATTACGATATACTGATTATTTATCCTAATTATTTACACTTTTTAGAAAATTTGTTCACTTAAATCTATAGGGGGGAAATTAATGTTTCAATATACTGTATCATCTTAAACAAAACTAATCCATTTCATTTTAGCGTGTTTTGCGATCATAACATCAATAATAATAATAATGGTTGATTACTAGTAATATATTACTATTGCTATAAGTAATAAATAGTAGTAGTAGCGATGGTGCGGTTAGTAGATTCAAAATATTTTTAATGATTGGAATTAGTTTTATATTAAGTATCTTTTATTTTGCATTAAACAGAATACTAGTAATCAGCATATTAACTGATGAATATCAACTTCTTCAAATGTATTTTACTCATTTACTTTCCATGAAAAATCTTGATTAGTTTTACGGTTTAAACTTACATGTATCCAGTAGTAGGTTCAATCATGCTTGTATGTCTTAGTGTTTGACTTATCTAGCATCTCATTCCATTGTGTATGTTCCTGTCTGTAACCTTTGGAACTTGTACTGAAACATAATATTTCGAATTACTTAAGTACAATAAATTCATCGTGATAACATGATCAATCACTAAATATTAATAGTGAATCTTCTCCACTTTCTTTTGCAGTTAATGCACCTGTTGTTTATTTTTACCAATTTAGTTATTTTTCATTTACTTAATCCCTATTTTTTTCCAAAGTTAATTTACATAAAATATTATACGATTAGGTAGCGAAAATCAGTGTGCCTCACACGAAACATAATTTGTTTCAGATAGAATACTATCCCGATTAGGCAAATGGAAACAAGTTGTACTCTTAGGAGACTACTTCTTGAATATTTAACCTAAAGGTTAAATCCACAAGGCATTAACAAAATCAATAAAAAAGATTCATGTATCATATTTTCTGCCTCAGGACCCTGAACATCAAGTCTACTATTTGTTCAAAATTAGATTTTTCAGACACTTCTAGGCGAACCCTCTATGCTTACCAATCCAGTTTCGGTACCGGACGTTCATGATTTTCCTCTACACTCTCTTAATGTAAAGGCAGTTAATAGGACTTCCTTTGCATACACAATCAGTACAACCATATTACAACGTTTTAAGACAGAAAGTAAACTTTTCTCACTTTTGTTCGGTGATAACTTTAGATTAAATTCCGAATGAATAGTTCACTATTCATAGCACACTTATTCCATTTTAATAATTTTGAGAATTTATTCTGTGCATTATTATCAACTTGTCCTTGATTAATTTTTTTTTTTGTTGGTTTCCATGCTTTACATTTCAACAAAAAAAAGCCATCGATTGAACGTGGTTTACTACCAATTGATTTATTTCTTCGAATTGAACAAATTCATCGTTTATGGGATGAGTATGATATTGCTTTACAAGAACGTGAATTAGCTGCAAGAAATGAAACCCATCGTTTAGATCGATTACAATGGGCTGGTAATCGAGCTCTACGTGATTGTATTCAAGTTCAAGCACAATTAACTGCTTTAGAACGTCGAATTGTTGAGGTTTGTTAATATGCATCATATCAACTTTGTTTTTATACTATCTTCTTTTTTCTTGCTGTGTATATATACAAATTGATTATATTTAGTAGAAGGTTCATAAGTTAAAAGTTTTTTATTCTGTTATTGTTACATTCAATTCGGAATCAAGAATGTCATGTTCTTTTTCTTGTAAGTTGAGATAATTCATTCGCCTTTGATTTATTGTCTTACATTGTATGTAAATAGTAGTAGTTGTTGTTGTTGTTGTTGTTTTATGTACTTTTTTATCACAGGAAATCAGTATTTTTCAATGAAATTTATTCACACTCTAGTAATGTTAGTTATTGATCAGTTACATTTCAAAGAGCCTTAAAATGTAGTTCAGTGAATAATTTCAATGCTAAGAAATTATTCAATTCATAACTACTTTCCGGCTCTTTTTGTCCTAAACGCATGATAATATAACGTTGTTCTAATGTTCCTAATGTCCAACCTATCAATATTCATTAACTAATCAATGTAGATGCCCCAGTTCCACAGAGCATCATTCCCAACCCAAATAGCGCAATGGTAACATCTCAAACTGTGATGCTTAGTGATTTAGTGTTGACTATCATATCAAGCATTTGCCATCTCCAGATTGTAAGCAAGCCTTATTGACAAGCGTTAATCGGCATGAAACCCAATTTTATAGTTTTGTAGCACCTCACATACATCTTGTACTTTTATCATTGTTGAGCTTATATGCGCATATACGCTTGGGCATTACTTGCCACCTACACATATAGTTATTTGACTAGCTGTATCGATTAACAGTTTGAATAATTCGATGTCAATATCGACTACACATATTTGAATTAAATCCGATATTTGTATCGATCATTAAATAATCTGAATAATAAAGAAATTGTGGCAGCGACTCGTGTTCTCTCGTAGCGATCATCAAGACGGAGATATACGGGAAATCGAATATAACGAATGTCTAACGCCACGATAAATTGGTGAGCCCGTTGAAAGAACACAACGCCGTTTCCTACGACTTCAAAGGAATACGTCTCCGTCTCCATTCGATTTATTACTGTGGACATTAATTACGTTTGCTGAATACTATTATCGTATTTTCATTTCACCTTCATTATTTCATCCATATTATTGAAAATATTTTGACAATATTAACATTCACACGTAACGTCATTATACATAAAATTGCTAAACTGCTGCTGTCCTGTAAGTCTGTTCTGTGTTGTAACATATTATTTCTTATTAACATTACTGTCTATCTATTTTCCTTCCGTTATTCACTAATCGCTCTATTTTTGTATCACTTATTTGTATTAATGCCCTCAAATAACGGTACACAAAGTCTGTCTCACATAGTGTCTGTGAAATTCCATAATCTGCCTATTCCTCCTTTTCAAGTCACCGACCCACTCTTATGGTTTATTAGGCTTGAAAATTACCTCTCAGTTAATCACATCATGTTACAACGAGATAAATTCGGCTACGCATGTACACTGCACGCGGACGAAGTCGCTGAAAGAGTTTGCGATGTTTTAGCTAAACCGGACCCAGATACGCCATACGACGAATTAAAAACTGCAGTCGTAAATGCCGTCTCGTTGACCGACCAACAAGCCCTACACTAACTCCTCAGTCGAGTAGAACTTGGTGACAAGACTCCGTCACAACTAAAAAATTACATGAGGACCATAATAGGCGACAGAAAGATGGATAATAACATGTTTTATCATCTGTGGCTCCGGCGACTCCCGCAAATTATTCAGCAAATCCCAGCAACTGAAGATAGGGAAGTAGATATAGATCATATTGCGGAAATAGCTGATAAGATCTACGAAAGAATGGAAACACCAAGTCCACAGATACATCATACCACGTTTAAAACTGAAATCGAAGATATAAAAAAAGAGATTCGCCATTTATCTCAAAACGTTTCCAAGCTAAATCTGAAAGGGAGACCAAAAAGACGATCACGAAGTAGGTCTCGCGACAAATCTCGATCACGCTCTCGCACAGGTGCAGCACCTACGTTATGCTGGTATCACCAGACTTACGGCAACCAAGCTAGAAAGTGCAGACCGCCCTGCGGGTTTAAAATAATACAACGGGGAAACGGTCCCGCCGGTTGCCGGTAACGGCTGCGACAACTGGAGCAACACCGAAAAACAGTCGTCTATTTTACATTCAGCACAGAATAACAGGTGCCCAATTTTTAGTAGATACAGGAGCTGAAGTAAGCGTCGTGCCACCAGTGAGTAATGAACGACGAAATATTAATACGGCACTAACACTACAAGCAGCAAACAAATCCGACATAAAAACATACGGAAAGCGAAAAATAACTTTAGATTTCGGTCGAAAAATTTCGCTTCGATGAGAGTTTGTTATCGCAGATGTATAGGTACCTATAATCGGTATTGATTTCTTAAGGAATTTCGACTTACTAGTAGATTCCCGACAAAACCAACTCTTGAACAGAGACCGTACAGTAGTGATAAGAGGAATAATCACTGACCACGAATGTATGAATTTAGTAGTGTCAGGAGACAAAAACGATCCATATAAATCGCTCCTAAACGAATGCGCTGACTTGACGAAAGTGTCTTACGATATCACTGATCTCAAACATACAGTTCAACATCACATTGTAACAAGAGGTGCACCTTGTAACGCACGACCACGACGCCTAGACCCAAAAAGGTTAAACATTGCGAAACAGGAATTTGACAAAATGATGAAACTTGGTATAATACGGTCATCGAGTAGTCCCTGGGCATCTCCGCTACATATGGTACAGAAAAAGAATGGACAGTACAGACCATGTGGAGATTATAGAGCTCTTAGTAAACAAACGGTTGCTGACAGATATCCAGTGCCACATATCCATGACATTACTAACGACATGGAAGGTGCCACTATCTTTTCGAAGATTGACCTTATTAGAGCTTATTATCATATCCCCGTGGCGCAGGAGGATATACCGAAAACGGCCGTAATCACTCCATTCGGATTATTCGAATTTTTGCGAATGCCATTCGGATTAACAAATGCAGCTCAAACCTTCCAGAGATTCATCGACCAGGTTGTTAGAGGTTTGTCAGGCGTATATGTATACATCGACGACATACTTGTCGCTAGTGCTACACCGGAAGAACATCTACAACAACTGAGACAGTTGTTCAATAAACTACAAGAACACGGTATCGCCATTAACGTTGAGAAATGTGAATTTGGAAAGAAATCACTGCAATTTCTAGGACACATAATAAATTCTCAAGGTATCACACCTGTTCCATCAGAAGTTGCAGCTATTCGTGATTATCCGCTGCCCGAATCACAAAGGAAATTACGACGATTCCTCGGGCTAATTAACTACTACAGACGATTCATTCCAAATTGCGCAACAATATTACAGCCGTTAACAGACGCTTTGCGAGGACGTGCCCGAAAATTTCACTTGTCAGCAGACACCATACAAGCGTTCGAGAACGCTAAGCGCGTGCTAAATGAGAGGACAATGTTAATACGACGAAAAAACGAAGCTCCAATCAGCCGTGATGACTGACGCGTCGGACATCGCTGTTGGAGCCGTGTTACGGCAGTTCGTAAACGACACATGGGAACCAATTTCATTCTTTTCTAAAAGATTAAGTCCCACACAAACGAGATACATTACATTCGGAAGAGAAGTGCTAGCAATATATATTTGGCAATAAAGCAATTTCGACATATGCTTGAGGGCACCATTTTCACAGTATACACAGATCATAAACCCCTCACGAAAGCATTAAACGCCAAGCACGACAACTATACACCGAGGGAAATTCGACAGTTGGAATTTATTTCCCAATTTACGTCTAGCATACAATATATTAAAGGTCATAATAACGAAGTAGCAGATGCATTATCAAGAACGATGGTCAATGCTCTCATCCAGTCTGACATTGGCTATCACAAACTCGCAGCGTTGCAAAATATGGATGTTGAGTTAAGCAGGCTAAGATCATCCAGTACAACTTCTTTAGTACTCCGAGAAACTCCATTCGGCAAGGTAAACCTAATGTGTGATATTTCTACAGGCCGACCACGACCATTTATTCCAAAGCCGTTTAGACGAAAAGTTTTCGAAATTATGCATAATATATCACATCCTGGAATTAAGGCTACGATCAGTCTGATTCAGTGAGCGTTTTGTATGGCCAAGTATGAACCGAGATGTTCGTAACTGGACGCAGGCATGCATAAAATGCCAGAAAGTTAAAGTTCATCGTCACACAAGATCCGCAGTAGGTCCTTTCCATCATCCAGACAGCCGGTTCGAGCATATACATATCGATATTGTAGGACCACTGCCAATTTCAAATGGCTTCAGTTATATTTTTACCTGCATCGACAGATTCACGCGATGGCCTGTAGCAGTGCCCATAAAAGATAATTCAGCAGAGACCGTAGCTAAAACCTTAGTTGAACATTGGATCTCATATTATGGAGTGCCTGCTAATATTACAACCGAAAGAGGAGCCCTATTCGAAAGTCGCCTTTTTCAACAACTCACAGAACTTCTCGGCATTAAACGTATACGCACAACATCTTACCATCCGATGGCAAATGGTATGGTAGAGAGATTACACCGCTAACTGAAACCATCTCTCACAGCTGTTATCAGCAATAATGATTGGGTCAGCAAGCTTCCATTAGTCATGTTGAGTTTAAGATCGACAATTAAACAAGATATTGGATGTTGCCCTACAGAGTTCCTGTCCCAGATGTGAAAAAGACGGCTTGCAGCGTGGCCAGAAGCAGTCGCCGCCATCACTGTCTGGCAGACCAGTTTCCCTGTGTCTCTTGACTATTTGCAGAGAAGGTGCACGGTTTTGTGCAGCGTCGAGCTTTCTCACCAAACTTCTGGTGATACCAACAAACACCAGTTGACCTTTTTGGAGACTTAGAGCGGTGTCGGGAGCATGACCTTCTTCTAGAGAAAGGTGCAGTTGGTTTAGTGA